GGCTTTGGCCCCTGCTCCCTGGGAAGCAGTGCAGTAAGCGGCTGACGGGGGAGACCAGGCCTGTATGTCTTTCCATCTCAGTGGGAGAGGAAGGAACTCCACTGGGTTTGTAATGTGCAAGAAACAGTGCCACCAATCCACATAATAAATACTGTTTCGTTTAATGATCTAGGCCAGTATTGTCCAAAGTTACCTGATTTTAGGAATCATCTAGGGTGCTTAAAGATGCAGCCTCTCATCCCTATCTCAGTCTTCTTGAATCAGAATGTCTAGGAGAGGTTTGGGAATCTGTATTTTAAATAAGCACCCCAGACAATTCTTATAATTTAGAAGACACTGTTTTCCCTGCAGTTGTTAAAGGGATAGGGAGGGGAGAAGGTGGGAGATGAGGACTGGAATCACCCGGGGGAGCTTTCTTGAATCCTCCACTCCCCAATACATATCTCAAGTGTTAGTGTCTTTTTCCAACTTGATTATGCAGCTTTGAAAATCTACATTATTTAATCTATAATTTAAATGTGAACTTTTATGAATGTAAATGAAATAATTTAAAAAGTAAACCATCTATTAATTTAGATATTTAAATAATTATTTACATTTAATAACACAAATTATATAAATGGTATTAATTTAGAAAAATTGCTTTTTCCTCACTCAAACAATTTTATTCAAATTCTTCACATGCATCTTCTATAGCTGAGTCTTTATGATCATTGGAACAACATTTTGAGTCATCTAACGGTTTCCTCCAGTTATTTAAGGGAGAACATGCTTTAAATGGAGTAGGATGCTGTCAGTAGAGATTTTACTGAGTTGCAACAACCACTTATTAAATATCAGGACAGGTTTTTTCCCCTACATATTCACAATCTCCACAAATAAGTACTTTTTATATTTCTCTATTCAATGATTATTTAAAAGCATACTAATGATCTCCAGTACTTGTTCTCTAAGCTCTTAGCCTCAGAAATAATTAATAAATATGTCTTTGTCTTTTTTTCCCTGATTTTGTTAGGTGACTTTTTTTTTTTGAGACAGGGTCTTGCTCTGTCACCCGGGCTAGAGTGCAGTGGCATCATCATAGCTCACTGCAACCTCAAACTCTTGGGCTCACGGGATCCTCCTGCCTCAGCCTCCCAAGTAGCTGGGACTACAGGCACCCGCCACCATGCCCAGCTAATTTTTTCTATTTTTTGTGGAGATGGGGTCTCTCTCTTGCTTTTAGGCTGGTCTCCAACACCTGAGATCAAGTGATTCTCCCACCTCAGCCTCTCAGAGTGTTAGGATTACAGGTGTGAGCCATCGTGCCGGCTGGCTCACACCTGTAATGACAGAAAACTGCCATTGCTTGAGGTCCTTTCCTGAAGAGTACTTTGTTCAAAAAGGACAAAGACAAAAGTATAAGCCAATTCTCTTTTCTGAGAAATGCTATTTTGGGAAAAATTTTGCTTTCTATTCTGCACATATGGTATATATTACTATTTAAGAATGTCTGCACCTAAATCCAACTTGAACTTCCCAGGGACGTTAAACTGGTCCAGTATTTTCTCACAAGATGCTAGAAGGCAGATTGCGGCATACCTACACTTCTGGTTGTTTAGTGCCAAAAGAATAAATTGTAGGAAAGTCCAGGACTGCTTTTAGAAGTTGATGACTTAGTCATCATTCAAAGTTTGCCTATAATTGTACATTGGGTTTTTTTTTTTTTTTTTTTTGAGACAGAGTCTCACTGTGTTGTCTGGGCTAGAGTGCCGTGGCATCATCCTAGCTCACAGCAACCTCAAACTCCTGGGCTCAAGCGATCCTTCTGCCTCAGCCTGTACATTGGGTTTTAACGGGAAGCATCACAGTGTTGACTGTTCTAAAGATGATATTAATATTGCTGAAAATTCCATTATGGCAGCATAATTACTGTAAGAGGTTCCATAATTCATGTTACGCTGAGCATTGTCTGCAGATTGAAGAATGTTCCTCTATGAATTATTACGTTTTAGAAGTTTGTGGATGCCATAATGGCGAATAAAATACAAATTTGTTTAAAAGGATTGAACTCAGAAATTTTTTTTTTTTTTCATTTTCCCTATGAATAGAAACTGAAACTGCTACCATGGTAGAGAGCAGAGTTCTAAGCTGTTCAGGTTAGTTTATTGGTGACCAAGTTTCGTCAATTAGTGAGTGGCTAAAATGGGTCTGGAGAATGACAAATTGGGGTGACAGGATATATGACAGAAGAAATATGGCATAGACAGAACGACAGTGCTTTGAAGAGCTATTGGGGGAGTACTCGGGGGAGAGAGGGAAAGGACACAGACATGGCAGTGCCACAGCTCTCTGCCAGCACAACACCAAGCACCTGTGCTCTCTCCCAGGAATGTGTTTTATATTAGATGCAGGTGTTTCCTTTAGAGCTAAACTTAGAAAATGAAATAACTCAGGTCAAACTCATCTGTTCATTAAAACTAAGGATTAAGCATGGTACGTATTATAATTTTTGTTACCAATTTTAAAAGCTCCTTTTAATTTTGAAAAAAACAAAGAAATGCAGTCCATGTAAATAAAGCAAAAGCACAATCCTAAGCAGGTTTCTTTTTCCTCACCCCTGATACCAAGAGCTGTAATTTTGGGAGAGATATCAGATAATTCAAAGCTATGTAGCGAATTTGGTCTCAAAGAGAAGACATAAATTAAGAAAGCCACAGTAAAATGATTTATTAATGTTGCAAACAAGTATTTACTATTGTATTCAGAAAACACTTCTTTGCTTATTCATAGGAAAAACCTTTTAAAGTGAGAAAAGTTATATTGCAAGTTATCTGGTGGAAGGAACCTACTAAACTAGTATTGTAAGCACTCCACTGCATTTCAAATATACTCACTTTATATATCTCCATAATATTTTCTTCTGAAATACAGTATCGGAAAAGTGTTAAAATAGAATGAGCAGGTGAGGCATATCTTGAGCATAGCAGAAACTGAGAAAAAAACCGAGGCATTTTTCCCTCCCAGTTCTCTCAGCCCGCCACCAGATGGTAAGCAAAAGCATAACCGTTAGACCTGCAATGCAGCAAAGTAGGGCGAACAAAAAACAAATAGCTGCTTCCTGTCTGACATTTTTGTTCAGGTAACCAGAGTTTAAACTTGTGTCCCGATAATGACATAACCAACATCTCCATTACATTAATACCAGCTACATCCTCTGGGAAAATGTCCCATGTTTCTTATTAACTAATCCAAAGGGGAAATCCTGGGGGAAAAACAAGAGAAAAAATTATGGCAGGTATTTTTTTTTCTTTCCTGAAAAATCAAAAAACTTTTATTATAAAATATTCAAAGTAATTAATAAAATGTTTACAGTAAAGTCCATATATGGCTTTCCAAGGTATTTTTTTTCCTTAATTTTACTCTAGGAAGACACTGATATAAATATCAGTCTGAGGGATAATAGCACTGCAACGGGTAAAACAAGTAGTCCAGATGGTTAATGGTAGATATTTTTAGTATAGAAAAATACATATTGTACAATGGGATTTCAATTCTTAAAATACCCATGCTTTATAAATAAAGTCTTAAGATAAATATACCAAACTATTAATTATGGCCATTTCTAAGCAGGAGGATTATGGGAGATTTGGATATTGTTCATATTTCAAATATTGAACAATAATCACGTATTGCTCATATGATCAAGAAAAAAACACCGTTTTAAAAAATAAATTTTTAATTTTTTTTTTTTAGTGATGGGATCTTGCCCACTATGTTGCCAGACTGGAGTGTAGAATCAGGCACAGTCAGACAGCACTATTACCTTATCTCCTAGACTCAGCTGTCCTCCCACCTCAGACTCCCAATCAGCCATGACTACAGGCGCACCACAGGGCCTGGCCAAAAAATAAGAAAAGTTTTAAATGCTGAAGAATAAATATCTCAAAGTGTGTGATCCAAAAATAGCTCTGAGGTTCTAAGTTGCATATCCTCTTTTCAAAGGGTAGAACAAAAAGGCCTTGCGTGACACAAGACAGTCTGATTCCTTTTTAGTGTAGCAAAAACAACGCAGGTTTCAGAGTCAGGAGATCTGGACTTGAATCAGGGTTCTTTCATTTTCTGGATAAGTCATTGAAGCTTTTCTTAAATGAGTCGTTGAAGCTTTAAGAACCTCTGTAAGGCCGGGCACAGTGGCTCACGTCTGTAATCCTAGCACTTTGGGAGGCCGAGGCAGGCAGATCGTTTGAGTGCAGGAGTTCGAGACCAGCCTGAGTAAGAGCGAGACCCCGTCTCTACTAAAAAATAGAAAGAAATTAGCTGGACAACTAAAAAAATATATATAGAAAAAAATTAGCCGGGCATGGTGGCTACACGCCTGTAGTCCCAGCTACTCGGGAGCCTGAAGCAGTAGGATTGCTTGAGCCCAGGAGTTTGAGGTTGCTGTGAGCTAGGCTGACGCCACAGCACTCTAGCCCGGGCAACAGAGACCCTGTCTCAAAAAGAAAAGAAAAGAAATAGAAAAATCTCCCGCAATGCCTAAAACAGTGTCTTGCACCTAACTAATCACATTTCCTGAGGAAAAAAATGTTATAAAAATCCTACTCCATTCTCTTATTAGTGGTTTTCCCCTTCCCCACTTAACTCCCTCCCTACCCCGAACAGCTACTGGATGGATCTAGAAACAAAGCACTTCACAGACTCTGCGGTCCAGCGCGCGGACAGCCGGGCTGCGGGCAGCTTTGCAGCCGGAGCCCGGAGCCCGGCGCCCCCTCAGAGCTCTCGAGGGCCCGGGGGTCCCGGACCCCGCCCGTAGCGGGAGGACCGGGGCCGCTTCCGGCCAGGCGGTTCCTCTGTGAAACCGCGAGCGCCTGGGGACCCCGGATGGTCCCGGCGGAAGGTCGGCCTTTGGGGGGCCGAGGCGACAGGGCGAGGGCGCCGCTCGCTCTTGCAGACTGACCGACCGCCACGAAGCGACTGCCACGTCAGGACAACTTCACAAAACCCGGACGAGGGCGGGTGACGCAAGCCAAGGGCCGCGGCAGGGTTGGGCCTGCGGCCAGACCAGGAGGCTGACCTCCAGCCCGGGCGCCCGGTTCAGCGATACCCCGGCCGGCGCCGGCGCCTGCCCGGCCCTGAGGGAGGCGGGGAAACAGGAAGGAGGCGGCGCCATCAGAAGCCCGCGCCTCGCCCGCACCCTCACCATCCCGCCCGCAGTCCGGGCTGGACTGGCCGGCGTCTGCGGAAGCTCCCTCGGCCAGGCCCAGTCTGCCCGAGCCGCGCTGAGACCTGGACAGCGGCAGCGCGGAGAGGAGGTGGCAGCAGGCCGGGAGGCCGGAGCCGGGCCAGCGACCCGCCATGGAGACCCGCTACAACCTGAAGAGTCCGGGTGAGGACGGCTAGGGGCGGTGGGCAGGGAGGGCGAAGTGACCCTGGACTCCGGTCCAGGTGCCACGGTGCCCTCGCGTCCGCCACCACTCGCGACTCTGCTCCCGGTTTCGCGCTCTACGCGAGACCGCCGCCTGCCCGGGAAGTGCAGGCCGCAGGGCGGGGTGGCGGGGCGGGCAGCCACTGCCAATCCCCGGGGACTGATCAGCGCCCCGCAGCACCCAGCCTCTCCCTTCCCTCATCTTCGCCCATACATCTGGGTCGTAAGCTTATCCCTAAGGACAGGTGTAAAAGTGTTGTCCGTGGGTAATAATCAACAGCCTCTTGCTCTACCTGCATCCTGAACACCGTCGTTATCCCTTCTCCGGACTTTTATTAGCCATTTGAGTCACATTTAAGGATTTGGTAGTTTAAATATCTATTTACAGCATTTGGGGCAAATAGAGTTACAGACGTGAAGGAAATGTTCTGTAACTAAGCTAGTTAGCCAAAGAGCTAAAACAAAACAAAACAAAAACAGCTAGATGAGCCATGTATTTGAGAGCTAACCTTGATTTTTGCCAAACTGGCTAATATGAAATTATATCCGTGTTAAGTCTTACACATTTCCTTTCCTGCATTGAATGCTCCTGCTTCATTTACACAAGCAGTCCAAACAATCCTAGCCTCCAATTATTTTCTGGTGCATTATAAAGATATAAGAAAAGTAACCAGCTCTCTCAGATTAAGGCAAACTTGAAATGAATCATTGGATTCTGTAAATGGTATTTATTTTATTTGTACCTTGATAAGTATGTCAGAAGGGAAAAACTCTGCAGTTCAGCTCTGAGTGATAAATCCTGGGATATTAGTGATGGTTTGACCAACTCTTGCTGCTGCTTAAAATTTCCTTCCAAAAAAGCTGCTTCTCAGTAGGAATCAGCAAGACTAGCATCCTTATGGAAAGAGTTAATATTGTTAATCTTTGAATTTTTTTAAAGGTTTCAGAATATGCAAAAATTTGAGAAAAGCCTGAGGATATTGATTGAACAGAGCTTTGTTAGCCTGAGTGCTGTCAGGCTGAGAAATGGCCTTGGGTAACCAAGTGTGTAGAATTGATCAGAACAGTTTGGGGACGGGATCATAGACTCCTTTAAAAATCTGGTGAAGTCTGTGGGTGCTCCAGGAATTACATTTATACAATTAATTTCAGTGGGTTCATGATGCCCCCCAAGCCCATCTCTTAAGAACCCCAGAAAAAAAAGATGAATGAGAAAGAGGGAGAGAAAAGCTTAATTTTTAAGCTTAGGTAAAATGATTGAATTACTTAGATTATGATTTAAATAAAACTAGTAGGGTAAAAATATATGGTGACTCCTTGGTCACATGGTTCATTAGGGACAGCAGAAGTACTTGGAACCTCTGGAGAATAACACAAATGTGAGTAGTAGTGCAGTTTGCAGTGGAGAACTGGTGGAACCAAAGAGGTTGTTGTCAGAGGACATTGCTCAAAATTGATAGGCTATCATACCTGATATTATGATAAGCTTTTAAAATTCTCTAGAATTTTGTACAATTCCAAAGTATGTGACCTATTGTCAGCTGGTTGAGCTTTGGTTGACATCCTTTTAGCTGTATCATAAATTGCTTCTTCCTCTCTTCGGTTTCATTTCCTCAAAGATGGTGTTGCTGCTCTAAAAAAAGAGAATGCTTTAAAACATTTTTTTTTTTTTTTGTTACTGTGTGGATTATTGGAGTTCCTGGAGAAGGTGAATTAGGTGAGATATAGGACTTATTGAAAATGCTGGAAGGCATAGTGAAAGTTTTATTGTTTTATTCTCAGAACTCTGGTATTTTTAGAGTAATGCCTATGTGAAAGGAAGTGGTTAAAAACACCACCCTTTACTCTATCTGCTGTGGGGTTGTTTTAGAGGTATGAATGGAAAAATTAAGTAAAAACAATTAGAAGAGAAACCTTCCTAAGGAAGCTACTTAAAGGTCTAGTGGGAGCCAGTCTAGATGATGAGTTGGAGGATGGGGGCCAGAGCAGCACTGCAGGTAACTGGTTAAGGGCCAATGTATTAGCATGTGGTTAATAAATTTATTCATTTAATAGGTGATAAAACATTTTAATTTTTGTTTTTTTTTGGAATGGACTTGTGATTTTGGACAGAACTTTTGTGTGTCATTTCATAAGCCTCTGACTAACCTATCAGTATTTGTCTCAGGATCAAGCTCCCTGATCCCTGTTTGTCCAAGGTACTATGGTCTTACAGTACGAAGCAGGGAGACCTGTGTATAAAGAACCTCCTTTGGCAGCTTCCTCCAAAGGGGCCTATGGACATGTGCAGCAGGTGATGGGAATATAAGAGACTGGTACAAAGGTACCCACTATGTCTACCAGAAGCCTAGGAATTATCCTATGCATGGCATTGGTGTCAACTGCACCTTTATGCTAATCCTCTCAAACCTTAATGTCCAACTCAGACCCTTCTCCTAAGCTATAAATACATAGAATTTACTGGTGACGCCACATCTTCAGCTAGGTTTCCCATAGATTGAAAAAAAATCTCTGCAAGGTATTAAAACCAAACATCAGTTTTCTCTCCTCCACCAAACTTGCATCTCACCCTAATATTCCATATCCCAGGGACTGACATCACCCAGGCACCCATGGGAGTCATTTTTGATTTCTTGGTCTACTCCTTTGCTCCACCCATGTCCTGAAGCACACACAACACAGACACATATACACATGTGTGTGAGCACACACAGACACACATATATCTAATCAGTTACTTTTGTCACCAGATCAATGAAAACAAAACAAAAACCTATCAGATCACTCCTCAAATTGAAAAATTTTTGGTAGCTTCCTTGTAGCTGTGGATAAAGTTCAAAGTAAAATGTGTGGCTTGGCCTACAGGGCTGCTCATGATTTGACCCTTTCCGTCCTCACCAGACTCATCACTCAGCACTCATACCTTCCTTTGCATTCTCACTATTTATCCATTTTGCCCAAACAACTCCCCAGGTGGAGTAGCTTTTCTCATACGCCTTGGTCCTTGTTGGAACCTCTGCTTGCAATGCCTTCCCTTTAATTTGTCTGAAATTCCTATTAATTCCTATTGTCCAGATCCTCTAGGCAGACCAAGGTAGTCCCTATATGTACTTGTACATACTTGGTCAGTATTACCACGTTTTGTTGTAATTATTTTCATGTCTTTCTGTACTCACTGTTATGGAGGGCAAGAAGCAGGTCTTAGTCATTTTTCTATCTCTGACACGCAAACATTCTTTAAATATTTGTTGAACTAAGACCCTTGCAGAGTCTTTTTGGGCAGAACATCAGTCCTTAAATATTTCCTTACGTGCCTTCATTATGGGAGCAGGAACAGGCAGTTATACCTGCCTCCTGAGGCTCAGCCTCGTCTCTAGGGCAGTAGTTTCCAAACCTGACCAGAATAACTTGGACAGCATTCCTAGTCTCCACCCCTTCCCAGGGCTTCTCAGATTTTTATCTGCCCAGATGGGACACTCTAGTCATTCCTCTAAAGGAGGACAAGAGAAAGTGTCCGGGAAACCTTCCTGAGGAAGCTACTTAAAATAAAGGTCTAGTGGGAACCAGTCTAGAAGATGAGGTGGAGGATGGGGGCCAGAGCAGCCTTGCAGGCTGAGGAAACACAATTTAGAAAGGCCTGGAGTAGAGAGAAGGTGGAGTGTGTTCAAAGAGTTGAACAAAGTCTTGTGTCTAGAACTTGGAGGGAGAAGGTGTCTCAATATATATGTTTCTATTCCTATATAGAATAGGAATATAGCATTTATCATGCTGTTTTGTATTGACTCCCCACCAGTATAAGCTCCCTGATGAACAAAACTGTATTTTGTTTATGGTTGAAACTGTAGCATTTGGCACCTAGAAGGAACTCAATAAATAGTCGATGATCAAGTGAACAAATCTCTGCCTATAGGGGCTCAGTTCAGAATAGAAGATGGAAAAGAATATTAATAATTATGAAGTAGGATAGTGACTTAAGAACTTTTTTTTTTTGAGACAGAGTCTCACTCTGTTGCCCCAGACAGAGTGCAGTGGCATCATCATAACTCCTACAACCTTAAACTCCTGGGTTCAAGTGATCCTCCTGCCTCAGCCTCCTGAGTTGCTGGGACTACAGGTGCACACCACCAGGCCCGGCTGATTTTTCTATTTTTAGTAGAGACGGGGTCTCGCTCTTGTTCAGGTTGGTCTCCAACTCTTGAGTCAAGCAGTCCTCTCTCCTCAGCCTCCCCGAGTGCTAGGATTACAGGCGTGAGCCAACGCACCTGGCCGACTTAAGAACTTTTTTAAGTCTAAGAACCCTTAATTCAAATGAAATTTTATGCAAAAGTCCTGATACACACCAAACTGGTTGTATATGTGTAGGGATTACTTCTCAGTTAACTTCTCTCTGCATAACATAACTTTCTCCCCAACCTCTGTCTCTACACATTTTATTTTTGTTAGTCCCTTTACCTATTCATATCCACTTGGGTAATTCCTACTGTCTTTTCTTTCAAATGTACCTGACCCCTTTTCTCTTGTCTGCTCTAAAGTTATTTATCTACATGGTCCTCCCAACATCTGGGCATATGTCTCTTATAGCGCATATTGAACTGCATCAGTGGTTTTAAGCAGAGGTTTGAGAAGCCTTTTCCCTGGCTTTGCCATTCCATGCCAGTATCTGACACTTTTTAGCACTTAAAGTTTGAGAGGGTTGGGATCCAGAGCACATATCAAAGGATTGAACTTTGAGAACCAACAGGGAAGGAGAGGGGGTGCAGATACATATAGGATTGTAGATCGTGATGGTCTTCTGAGTGCATTCCTGCTAACAGTCATTTATTGTGTAGATAAAAGGCTGAGCCATTAACTGAAAGCAGTGAAAGAGAGGAGAGATGAGAACAGGTGTGCAGTAGTCTTAGAGTACTATGTGGAGCTAGTGAGCTGGTATGCTTCCTAGAGAAATGTAGGATCATTAGGAGGTATTATGTCCCTGAGGAGGTTGTTGGTAATGACTCTTTAATGGCATAGATGTGCCAGCCTTTATGACTTTTTTTCCCCTTTCAGTAATGCTCAGTTTGGGTATAGAAACTAAATAAGAAGATGGTTGTGTTGGGTCAGCCAGAGTTGAATTTTATTAGGGGAGCATGAATAAAAGAGGGACTCCTAAGAGCCAAGGGTGTGGATAAAGAGAGAAGTGAATGTAGGTATGGGTGGGGTGAAGAAAGTAGTGGGCTTTTAATTAAGCTGAAGAGTGATTTGAAAAAGGAATTTAATTAGGGCCATGGAGGTTCAATGAACTCAGGGGACAGTCCCATTAAGTTAATGTAAAATAGTGGGTGGAAAGTCACATGAGGTTGAGGATACAGGAGGGGTTTACTGTTCACCCAGCGTGAGATCCTGAAGGCACATTTTTGTTAACACAGACATTTTAAGAAGGTAGAGTCAGACTACCTATTTGGAATCCTGTCATTTACTAGCTGTATGACCTTGAGCAACTTATGTAATCTTTCCTTGTCTCAGCTTCCTCATCTAGAAAATGGGGATAAAAATAGTACCTATCTAGTAGTGTTGTTTTGAGGATTAAATGAGTTAATGTTTGTACCACATTTTGATAAATGCTACCATATAGGAAATATATATAAGTATATATTAAATAAAAATAGTATCTTCCCTATATATTAATTTTATATATAGCTCTTCAAAAGTGTGCCATTCTTCTAATGTCTAGCAACCATTTCCTTCCTCTCTCCCTCCATTACTGTTATCCCATAATTAAACTTTACCATATGCTCAGTTGAACTAGTTCTCTATACGTTTTTCATTGAAGTAGGAACTTTTTCATTAGGCTTGTAAGTCTTATTAATCACTTAGAAAAGCATATTTTAAATGTCTTTATTTTTTTAATTTTATTTTAGCTGTTAAACGTTTAATGAAAGAAGCAGCAGAATTGAAAGATCCAACAGATCATTACCATGCACAACCTTTAGAGGTTAGTTTCTATCTCCATATTCTTCATATGGATTTTGATACTTTAATATTTAAAACATTCTTTAAAATTGCTTTTCGTTGCTTTGAGTCATTATAGATGTATTTGATGTAGTTTACTGATACATTCTATTCCCTATATTTCCTGAGTATTTCATTAGCCAATCAGACATTTTAGAAGAAGCAGATTTCTATTCTCTGTAAAATGGGTCTTAGATGCTAAGCTGAAGATAGTGGGTGTTAGGTCTTGAGTATGAGGGAGGGGAAGTGGAAATAACCCCAGACTCTTCACAGTATGGAAAGCCAGCCCCTTGAGAAGTCTTTGCAGCTACCCTGGGCTTTTTGCACAAATGCCTCTACCTCTCTTCAGTTTTCTCATCTGTAAAAGGAGGGTATTTAACTGTGCTCAGTCAGGCTTTCATGGTAATAGAATAAAAATATAATAATATATGTGCAAGTTTTTTGCAAACTGAAAAGTACTTGGTAACTATAAGATGACATTAATAGCAAATGTATTATTATTACTGACCATTTATAAATAAGCTCTTATGCATCTGTAAGGGTTAAGTTTTAAAGATTTGTTAAAATAACCCAAATTTATAGTAATTATTTGATTATATGATAATTATCACTAATTGGTATTCTTTCAAGGATTAATTTCAATTAAATCTGTATCTTATTTATGAATACATAACAACACTCAGAAATTTTTAATGCATTTATTTAAAAAAGATTTTAGTTCTTATGGGACATGAAAACGGGATTAAATAGCCTTTATTTATAACCTTTACTTATTCATAACTTTTATTCTTAAGACATCTTGTGCATTAGAAACTGTCCTAGGAATAATATAAAACATTCACTTTTTCTCACCCAGTAATATTTCTAATATTCAGATTGATAAAAATGATCAAACTTTTTAATGTTATTTATTCCTTGTGGGTTATTATTTTTGTTCAGGATAACCTTTTTGAATGGCACTTCACAGTTAGAGGGCCCCCAGATTCTGATTTTGATGGAGGAGTTTATCATGGGCGGATAGTACTGCCACCAGAGTATCCCATGAAACCACCAAGCATTATTCTCCTAACGGTAAGACTTCCTGGCTTGTGGCTTAACTCTTCCCGGTAGCTTCAAAATATAGTCAGCATACTCATTTTCACTAGGAAATAAAGTGGAACATTATTATAATATTGCCTTTGGGGTCCAAGCCCTGGAATTGCAATTTTTTCCCTCCAAAATAATTCCTAGGAAGCTGACACACCTGAGAAATGCTAAAGATACTAAGGAATGTATAAGTGTCATAGCACATTTGTTAGGATTTGATGAATTAATGTACGCAAAGTGCTGGGCACACAGTCTCTAGCACTTACTCTGGTAAGTACTCTATAAAGAATAGCTAATGTTATTGTACCTTGTAGTCACATCATCTCCTTCAACTTCCCATCTTTCTTACACTTTTCTATGGTTTCCTATCTTTATAATGAGAATAATGATACCTACCTCATTGAATCTATGTGGGATTAAGTGTGAGTATCTTATTGTATAGTTCTTAGAATAGGGCCTGATATAGAGTCCTCAGTAAGTGTTAGCTGTATTATTACTGTTTATATCTCAGAATTTTTCTCCATTTGTACATACCATATCTTCATATTGATCTAATTCTAATTAGAATTATTGATCTAATTCCTCTCTTAATTGTTAAGCTTTCCTTCCCTCATTACCTTTCATTTATAAATAGGTTTAATTCCCTCCTGAACTTGAAAAAAGAAAAACAAACACAAAAACCTTTTTGTATCTGTTGATAATATAAGCTCTTCCTGTTTTTCTCTTTGATAACCTCCACAGCATCCTTACTTTAGTTTAGCTGCTGTCTGGCCTCCACACATAGCACTCTGATAAAACATGCTTACTACACCAATCTCAGAGACCAGTTTGAGAAATCTCAGTGCCTCTTCTCAGTCTACATCCTGTTCCATCTAAGCTAAACATCTGACCCACAGGGTAGCAAACGGTGAAACAAAAAGGTGTTCGTCAATAAATTCCAAATTAGACCCGCGACCCAGCACCTGTGCACTTAGGGCCCGCCAATCATGCCTGAGGGTGTGCCCCTGGCCACCTACCTGAAAGCGTTGGCAGCCAGCCTCCTAGCCATGTGCATGGGGGTCGAAGTGGTGCACAGGTACTGGGTGCACAGACCTGAAATTCCACCAAAGCCTGGAGAACTCAGAACAACTTTTGGGACTGAAAGAGAGACAACATGAACCTCAAATTTCTCAGCAGTAGTAACTTAAATACAACTATGCCAAGAATTCAGTGAATAATATTGTCTTAAATATGCATTTTTAAAAAAATTTATTGAGTCAAACTACTTGTTCTTAAGCACCTAGTCCAATGCTAAGTGCAAGAGGAGATGCTCAGTACGTTGAAATTTAATTATGGTTTGACCAGTTTTCTTGAAAACTGCCAAAGTACATATCATCTGCTTTTTGAATGTGATTTGAAAGGCATTTAGTCTTGAATATCATGTGAGATAGAGTATTTGCAGGGATACTATATGTGTTTTCTTGATTTAATGTAAATCAACAGTAAAATCATTTTACAACTAAATAAAAAATTCTAAATTAAGGCTGCTTTTACTTATACTTAGTATAATGGAAAGAGCATTTGTTTTAGAGCCAACAGACCTGGATTCTTACCAGTCCTCTTTCCATTACATCATGGCCAGGTTACAGAATGTGTTTGAAATTCAGCTTTTTCATCTGTCAAAAGGAATGCTATGTATGGCAAATATAAACACACTATAAAGTTCTTGGCATATAGAAGCTGCTTAACAAGTACTAGGTGATACTGAGAATTGTTAATGCTAGCAGTAGGGCTGGAGCAGGGTCAGAAGTCACTTCATTTAGTTGCTAGGTCTTGGGGAGAGCCAAGTGGCCTGGGGGGAGGGGCTGGTGCATGGGGAAACTAGTGGGTGGATAGTAGGTAGCAGCAGCTCTTTACCAACAAATACAGAAATATTTCGATAGTTAACCAATAGTATGGTCGTATTTACCACACTGGCTGAGAATCAGCTCTACCCTTCTGATATTCAAAATTGCAGTCTTTCTGGTTCACTTCCTCTCTTTTGAAAAGCTTTTTCCAACTTTCATTCAACAATTACTTTTAGACATACGTCATATACCAAGCCCTGTGGGTACAGCAGAGAAAAAGTCAAAGTCTGTGCCCACATGGAGCTTATATTCTAACTTCATTTCTCTTCTTCCTTGCCCTTCCCCTGAATATGGATAATTCTACAAGTTCAGACTTCAGCTGTTTTATTTCTATGAAGTGGCTTCAGTGATCACTTCTGAAGAGAGGTACCAAAGGTATATATATATCTTCTTCTGACATCAGCATACTGACATTTCTACCTGCCTTTTAGACATGATCAATAGCTTTCCTTCCAGCTGAGTGCAGTGGGGTGTGCCTGCAGTCCCAGCTATTTGAAAGGCTGAGGTGGGAGGATCATTTGAGCCTAGGAGTTTGAGTCCAGCCTGGGCAATATGGCAAGGCCCCATCGCTGAAAAGAAAAAAAAGATAGCTTTCCTACCAAAATATAAGATCCAAATCCAAAATTGAAATAATTATTTCTGATCTTCTTCTTCTGTGTTCCTGTCTTATTAAATAACATCATTCTTCTGAAAATCACACCTCTCTCAAAGCCTTTCTCTCCATGCCCTTCCTCACCAACATCTAGTTAGGTGATACTCAGTCCTTAGATTTTATCCTAGCCTCTTGTGTGTCTTCTCTTTTAGATTAGCTGAGCTGGGGGGCAGTGGCTCATGCCTGTAGTCCCAGTGACTTGGGATGCTGAGGTGGGAGCATCACTCGAGCCCAGGAGCTCAAGGCTGTAGTGAGCTATGATTGTACCACTGCACTCCAGTCTGAGGGACAGAGTGAGACCCCATCTCTTAAAAAAAAAAAATTCTTAACTGAGCCTAGCTCTATACTAGGCATAGGGTAGGACATCAGTAAATCTTTATATGTTAATTATTTATATTTCAGTTGTGTAACTAAGTTTCAAAAAGGTGCTATAACACCTTCTAAAAACAGTTTTAATATTCATTCAGCATCCAACAAATATTTTTGGAGTGTTTATAAGAGGACAAAAATCTTCGTTCCCTTAGAGGGTACGTTCTTTTAAAATTATTTTTAAAATAATATTTAAAATTATTATTTATATATAAATTATAAAAATATATTTATACCTTAAAAGTATAAAACATTACATATATATAATTTTTAAAATGCATTGTTTATTCATAAGGCTAATGGACGATTTGAAGTGGGCAAGAAAATCTGTTTGAGCATCTCAGGACATCATCCTGAAACTTGGCAGCCTTCATGGAGTAGTAAGTATTAATTTATTATAAATTTAAATCTCTTATAATTTTAGTCAATTCATAGTTATGAAGTATAATACCCTCTTTTTTCTCTTTTCCAGACTAAACTCAGTTTCTTTTATAAAGCAACTTAGATTGATGTTTCCTTTTTTCTTTCAGTAAGGACGGCATTATTAGCCATTATTGGGTTTATGCCAACAAAAGGAGAAGGAGCCATAGGTTCTCTAGATTATACACCCGAGGAAAGAAGAGCGCTTGCCAAAAAGTAAGTTTTGTATTTCATTCTTTGTTAAGGTCTGAATACCATTGTGGGTAATGGCTATTAGGAGGTAGGCTCTGTCTCTTACTATGTGACTTACTTTCTGAGTTACTGCGGCTACAGGATTTTACCTTAGCTTTGCTATTTTAGAAATTCAGTTGTACTAATTTCCTTGGGATGACCAGAATCTAAATAATTGATTTCATGCTATCTGGTTTTAAAAAGTAGTTGGTAGGCCGGGTGTGGTGCCTCACGCCCGTAATCCTAGCATTCTGGGAGGCCGAGGCGGGCAGATTGTTTGAGCTCAGGAGTTTGAAACCAGGCTGAGCAAGAGCGAATCCCCGTCTCTACTAAAAATAGAAAGAAATTGGCTGGGCATGGTGGCTCATGCCTGTAATCCTAGCACTCTGGGAGGCCGAGGCGGGCGGATTGTTTGAGCTCAGGAGTTCGAGACCAGCCTGAGCAAGAGCGAGACCCCATCTCTACTAAAAAAAGTAGAAAGAAATTATCTGGACAACTAAAAATATATAGAAAAAATTAGCCTGGCATGGTGGGCATGCCTGTAGTCCCAGCTACTCGGGAGGCTGAGGCAGGAGGATCGCTTGAGCCCAGGAGTTTGAGGTTGCTGTGAGCTAGGATGACGCCACGGCACTCTAGCCTGGGCAACACAGTGAGACTCTGTCTCAAAAAAAAAAAAAAAAGGAGTTGGTAATATTCCACTAAGATCGATTTTACTACAGTGGGAGATACATTCTCCAGGAAAACAATACTGGTCATTTGTCTCCACTTGGATGGTATTATAGATGGAAAAGAACCAGAGCAATTATTTATATGTAGTGTTCCACAAGATTGAAAATTCCTTGAGGGCAGAGAGGGAATCCACTTTATCCATCTTTGTATCTGCGGTATCTAGCTTATAGCAAGTGCTCAATAAATGATCTGCAATAACCCAAAGGAGATTTTCTCTATCAAGTTTTGATTGTCCAACTCGAGGATTGGCATTACCTTCTCTGTTTTTTTCCAGGTGCATTTTTATCTATAAAACCAAGATTAGTAGTTCAATTCAGGGTATCTTCTCTTTGAGTAGTGCTGAGATCTAATTCTTAATTTTGATAATTTTCCTGTTGTAGAGTCTGCTGCCTACCATCCTTCAAACATAGTTTGTTAATTAAATTATAGCACATTTTACCCTAGCACAATCCAGAGTAGGCCCTGCACAGATGTTTGTTAAATCAAATAGACTTTTTTAGCATGTGGAAGATTTGGTAGACTGCTTGGTCTCATCAGCAGCTTTTCTTTTTAAACCTTATTTCTAAATTCTGATGATATACCTTACTACTCTTCACAGATGACAATATGTACTTCGAATACATAGTGTTTGTTTTTATTTGATTTCCTATGTTAGTCTTTTATCTTGATACTTTTATCCAGTTGATTTCATGTACAAGGTAAAAAAAAATGAACTTAGATTCTTTTTCTTCTAGGCTTCTCAGTGTATATATTCTCTAGGTTCTCAGTCTATGATAGAGAAGCCTTTTTAAAAATAATTTTGCATTCAACAGTGGTAGCATGCTATGCCATGCTTATCTAAATTAATGCATTTAAAATAAACATTCTCCTTTATTTCATCTGACTTCTCAGTTAAAAGTGAATACATTTTAAGACAGATAATTTGTGTGCAACCAATTCTCAAAAGGGGTATGGATAACAGTGCTGCTTCTGGTGAAACAAAAAATCATTTATTGTGCTGGATGGAGTGGTTTACTTCTATAATCCCCAAACTTTGTGAGGCTGAGGTGGGAGGATTGCTTGAGGCCAGGAGTTCAAAACCAGCCTGGGCAACATAGCATGAAACCCCGTCTCTACAAAAAATAAAAAAATTGGCAGCGTGTGGTGGTACACACCTGCAGTCCCAGCTACTAGGGAGGCTGAGGCAGGAGGATCACTTGATCACAGGAGTTTGAGGCTGCAGTGAACTATGATGATGCTACTGTACTCCAGCCTGGGTGACAGAGTGAGACCCTGTCTCAAAACAACAACAACAAAAAACTAGTAAAAATGTCATTTATCATCAATAAATACTAAATTAATGCCACTTTTACATATATTTTGTTTATGTTGTGCTGTTTTATAAATTTAAATAACATATTCTTTGAGACCTAAAGCTTTTGAATTATATTGAACTAGAAGTACTATAAAAACAATTTTTTTAAAAGTTCAACAACGTAACAATATGTATTTCTACATATTAGTCATATTTATTTTCAGTCATTCAAATCCTCATAGCACTCTTGTGAGCTTTAGGGTAGCTTTATCTGGAATACAAAGGGAAAAATGGTAAAACAAATATATATTAGGAAATAGTCTAGTTAGCAGGTTTATCTTGAGTCTCTACTTAATATAATCAGTGATAGCTGCAGTATTTGGATTTTCCATGAGTTCTCCCAGGTCTCCCAAGTTGTGCTGCTATTTAGATGAGTAGGATTTGTGAGGTTTTTTTTTGTAGAAATATCTCTAAATTCCCATTTTTAATTGGCTTCTTTACTGCTTTACATATGTTTCTGCTAAAAGATAATTTAAGTTTTATAATGGACTTTTTTCACAGGCTTAAAATTGGCTTGTTATATGTGATCTTGAGGACAATGTAATAGAAAATTTATTTTGTTATTCTGTAGCTCTACAGCTTATTTTTCTTTAGTTTATTGAAAAAATGGACTCTAAAGCTGTATTTTTTAATGCCAACCTAACTTACACACTTGTCTCAGGACTGTAGTTATTGGCTTAATTATAATTTGCAGTCTAATTTGCAGCATGTAGATGAATGTGATGTGGAATTGTCCAGTGTTCTTATCTTTTAAATTTAATGATTCAGCATTTGAGTGTCTCAGCAAGAGGGAATTAACATTCAGCCATTTGGTTTATTCTCATAAAAAAATTGTCTCCTACCAGATCACAAGATTTCTATTGTGAAGGATGTGGCTTTGCCATGAAGGATGTCCTGTTGCCTTTAAAATCTGGAAGTGATTCAAGCCAGGCTGACCAAGAAGCCAAGGAACTGGCTAGACAAATCAGTTTTAAGGTACTATAAATTCCTAAATAAATTCTAATTGGGTGATCCTTTTGTTTACTGCTAGATTCTATTATAGATAGAAAGGAAAGCAATATGGTTCTATTGCAATAAAATTTTATAAATAAATTTTTCTTATTACAGAACTCATAATCTACATTCATAAAGGCATTATAGCATAGTGTTTAAAGCTTAGACTCTGGTACACAATGCCAGGGTTCAAATCCCAACTTAGTTGCTTATTAATAGTATGATGTCAGACATATTACTTAACCACTTTGTGCCTTGTTCTCATCTGTAAATAATAATGGTACCCATGACATCGGATTAAGCGAGTTAATACAAGCAGTACATATGTTGCATTTAGAACTGTCCCTGGTGCTTAATAAATTCTAGCTAGTATTATAGAAAATATAGATAAGCAACAAGAAGAAAATGGCAATCATCCATAATCTCATCCTGAAGAAATAACTACTGTTAATATTTTGGCTTATCTCCCTTATATCCCTTTTTCCTACATGTTTCACCCAACCATAGGATTATGTAGTATTGTGATACTTTGAGTATTGAATATTTAATTAATTAAAGTGTTAAGTAGGCTGGGTGACGTGGCTCACACCTGTAATCCTAGAATTCTGGAAGGCTGAGGCAGAAGTATTGATTGAGCTCAGGAGTTGGAGAACAGCCTGAGCAAGAGCGAGACACTGTCTCTACTAAAAATAAGCTGGGCATGGTGGTACACACTGGTAGTCCTACCTATTCGGGATGCTGGAGGATGGCTTGAGCCCAGGAGTTTGAGGTTGCAGTGAGCTATGATGATACCATTGCACTCTAGCCGGGGCAACAGAGCGAGACTCTTTCTCAAAAAAAAGAAAAAAGTTAAGTATTTAAGACTTCTGGAACTTAATTACCTTAAAAAAAAAAAGTCGGCCTGCATTAAGCAACATGCTACCTCCACCTTCTCCACTACTTTCATCCCACTGTCTTTCCGGGTCCAATTCTTGGGAGAAATTTTCTGTCTGTTTTATTAAAGTGTCTGGAAGAGGAGGTACTCAATAAATGTTGATTACTTTCTTCCTTCTGAGGATTCCTATTACACTTAAAATTGTTCTCTGAAAATCTTAGGATCACATATGTTTTGTACATCAGAATTTTTCAGATTTTAGAAAATATCTTACCCGTATCATGTATTAACTAGCCCACAGTGGGCTCTAGGGCAGTACCTTGTAATCAAATTCATTAATATTTTCTCAGCAAACCTGGGAATATTTACATTAATGTGGGATAAAGACTATTCATAGCTTCACATTAATTCATGTCAGGCTTGCCTAAAAATCACCAAAAAGCTTTTAGTTTTGGGAGCATTTTAGAACTGTGGATTATTAACCATGGGTATTAGTTTTGTCCCTCACCAGGTAACAGCTTCTAGGGAACAAGGATTGTCTGTGCGTCTTCCTATAATACCTAGCACAGTGTTGGGCACATGAGTGCCCAGTGCTTAACTGACTAATAGTAGATATTAAACCAGCAGTTAAAATAAATTCGAGAGAGGGACTTTAGTAGGTTGTGGATTATTTTGTATGTTTCTTTTTGTAACACTAACTCTTGGGTGTATCTTATTTATAGGCAGAAGTCAATTCATCTGGAAAGACTATCGCTGAGTCAGACTTAAAACACTCTTTTTCACTAAATGATTTACAAGATGATATACCTACAGCATTCCAGGGTGCTACAGCTAGTACATCGGTATGGCTCTTGTCTTTTAACATATATGTATATCTATATCATTATCATTATTTGGAATAGGAGGAAAAGATCCCTAGATCAAATATCTGAAAATTTTGGTTCTCCTAACAATGGGATTCTAGCCCAGCTGTCTGTCTAATGAATTATATTATGTTGAGCAAGTTATACATGCTTTCTGGGCCTCAGTTTTCTTTTTTGTTAAGTGGGGCTGGACTAAATATCTTTTAAGTCTTATTGTCCCTCCAGAATAATATGATTTCTTTGAAAAGCCACTTTCAGTATAGTGCTAGACTCTGAATAAAACAAAATATACATGTTAGCCACTTTCTAAATAGACGCAGTCTTTTGCAGCTTTGTTAAGCTGTATTAAGGTACTGACTTAAAGACCTAGAGCCAAACATTTGCCTTACACTTGCTGTGTACAATATAGTAGTCACTAGCCACATGCAGCCATCTATATTTAAATTTAAATTAATCCAAATTAAAGAAAGTTTAAAATTCATTTTCTCAGTCATACTAACTACATTTCAAGTGCTGTATAGCCACAGTGGCTAGTGGGTGCCACATTGGACAACGTAGGTATAGAACATTACTATCAATCATAAGTTTCTGTTGGTGATGTTTCCTTGCACGTAGTAAGTGTCCAGTAAATAATTGTTGAATAAAATAATAAATGAATGCTATGGTTGCTGTTAGTTGTGCCCTGACCTATTATCTAAAAAATTGGTGAGCCTAGGTGATCAGAGAGACTGACTAAAAAAACATGACTAGATTGGTGCTAAATAATTAGGATTATGGGGAAAAACAATGACGTTCCTTTCTGTATATAAAAGATGAACTGTCTTTTGGTGTATTTTTGGTAACAGATTGTTTTAAGTAGTCACATATTTCCTCCCGCCCCACCTCCAGTTTATAGAGGATTTTAAAGGGTTGGGAAAATTGAAATAGAAGCTGGGCAAGTACAGATTTGCCCTTTACCTACCAATAAGTTACTATAAAGTGGGACTGAATAGTCTTGAATAGGTCTCTCCTATCCAGAGAATGAGCAGGTGGGCAGAGAAAAGTAGGTTGGAAAGAGCAGGGGAGAGGGTGACTCTCTAGGGGAACTGAAGATGGAGGTATGAGAAAAAAGTATGTTGGGATGAGTATAAATCATTTTTATATGATCCCAATGTACTTTTATAAATTACAGAGGAATATAATGAATTAAAGTCAGTATATGTTTTAGTTTGAAATATTAAAAAATCTCTGATTACTTTTCATTTTTGTATTCTAATTTTTTTTTTATTTCATAAATAGTTTTTAAAAATAGAGCCATTCTATTACAAAAAGGAGGGTGATATTTTCTTTTCACCTGTTAGGACAGTCTCCTAATATTTGTGATTCATATAAACCTTTTGTGTATTTTAAATTTGTCAAGTCCCCTTGTTACATATTCCAGTTATGCGTATTCCAATGATAATTTATTTTGTAATTATTTATTGTCTATTTCACTTCCCAGAATATAAGTTCTTTTGAGAGTCAGGGCTCTTTTTCAACTTCTCCACTGTATCCCCAGTGCCTGGCTTAGTGCCTTGTATATAGTAGGTGATCGGTACATATTTGTTGATTGAATGAATGAACCTCAGGATTGGCACTTTTAAAAAATATTAGGGGCTGGGTGTGGTGGCTCATGCCTGTAATCCTAGCACTCTGGGAGGCCGAGGC